ATTATCTTGCTATTAAAGATTTGAGCTTAATTTTGAATCGGAATTTCTCTGACTTCAACTTCTAGACATTACATTCTCTTCTGTAAGATTCGAGAGCCCTTCAAAATCCCGGTGAAAGTATGCTGTAGTCTAGGTATCTCTTGACCTTCTTTTACACTAATCGAACAGAGTATCCTTCACTATGAGACATTTTCTCAGTTCTTCAGAATAATTTCTTTGACTCTTTCCTGCATTCTCTCTCATTTTTTAGTGCCTTTTTAAAATACACTGGCCTGAACTGTATCAAGCCTGCCTTCTGAATGCTGTGCCTTCTTCTTTGTTTACCATTACATCCATCTATCTTTATAACATGTCCATTCTTTGCCAGCAGTCCTGTGGGTTATTGAATAACCACAAGCCTGGCACAGGCTCTGTTGGAAGCTAGTGTTTTAAGAGGTTGTAGGAAAACAAGTATTTTAATGAAAATTGGCACTTCTGTTATAATGATACATGATAAGACAAGTGCCTTTACAAAATTCTATTTCATCCGTGGAGGAATAAAATATATCTTCCCATTGTAATAATATCATGTCTGTGTGACAAGACTCATTTTCTATTAAATTGATATATATTGGCAACTATTTTTTATGCTCTGTTTTCTTTCTTTCCTTTGGAAATGGACAAAGACTAATTTAGAATAAACCCAAAACATTCTCTAAATGACTCCTAATGACTAAAAATTTAGTTATGATCCTAATTGTTTTCACTTTACCTAGCAATTCAGAAAAAAATGAGTAAAGACTTCCAACACTTAATTCACCAATGTATGGGGGGAAAAAAAGAAAGTTTTAAAAAAAAAGGTTAAATGGGCTGTGCAGTGCCCAGGGTATACCAGTTCAAAGATTCTGAAAGGTCAGTAGTAACTGCACAGTTTTGTGCGTGGGCAGAGTTTGGTTCTTTACCTGAGTGTCTAAATGACATTCATGTAACACTGAAGATTAAATCAATGTGAAGCTGAAGTCTCCTGAAATAAAATTCTAACAAAAGCCATTTCTAAAATGCATAGAGCCTGCTGTCATATATTGGCATTTTTCACACTTCCTTTGTATAGCAAACCATTACTATCTGCAGGAGTTGTTACTAAAACATGAACTTGCTTAATTTTATTTAAGTTACCATGAGACTATGTATGAGGGAAAATAAAATCCAAAGGAAAAATAACTTCAAGTAATGAAGACTGTGATTCGATTAGGGGGCTTCTTCAGGCTGGTTTTGGTTAGATGGATTAAAGTTTAGGAGTTGAAACAAAGGGATTAAAATAGAGGATGCCTAGAAAGGAAGAAGAGAAGCATGTGACTGTTGGATTTCGTGAAGGGAGGTCTGCTAGATGGTAGGGCCCCAGGAGCATAGTATGTCAATGTGTTATTTCAGGATATTTTTTTTTCTGTTTGAATAGGTCTGTTTTGTTTCTGTGGATAGCTCCACATTTACTTGCTGGGTAACTCAGGATGCATCCTAAAGCCTAATGCTCCTACTGTTCAGGAAGTCACTGGAGAGGGTTATGTTTTTCATATCTCTGCTTTATGAAGAGACTTTCTATCCACAGCACAGCTCATGGTCCTGGAAGCAGACTTGCCACTCAGGACATGGCTAGGGCATGGCCCCGGAGGAGTAGTTCCCATGTATTGCCAGTCGCAGATATGTGAAGGAAAGAAGTGCCTGTGCCTGGGCTTATCCAAACCTCGTGGATCCAGCAGGTCACAGACTGCCTGAAGAGTGAGTAACTTCTAAACTACACCCAAGACAGAAAACAGCACTAGACTTCACACTTAATGCCTCAGGATATGCCAATATTATGCAAAGTCACATTGTGTTACCTGACCTAGGTCAGAGTATCTTTGTACATCACCATGGCAGTCACAGCGTCAGACAGGGATCCTAGCTCATATTCAAAGCTAGCACAGTCCAACCTCAGCTTCCTGTTCCAGCACTAGGCTTTTCTGTGCTAGCTTGAGGGTCAGCAATCATCATCTGTATCAGAGATACAGAAATAAGTAGCAAGGCAGTGGTACAAGAGCTCTTTAGCTATGACTTGTCACTAATTTTTGCCTCTGTTAATCTTCACAATGCCTAAACAGTGATTTTCCTCTAAATTAAAACTATTCTGTTGTGCTACAGGGTGAAATCCATGTCAATGCCATTTGCCCTCATGACAACAGCACCATCTCACTAAAAGTGATAAACTGGCAATACAGGATACAAACATTAGCTTGCTTATAATGTGTTTTAATTGGAATGGAAATCATTCACAAATTAACTAAGTGAATAAACACAGCTCTCCAAAGTCCTAAATTAAAATATTCAATTGAAACGCTTGTCTTCCCCATTTGTGAAACAAATGTTAAAACATTTGAAGAAAAGCTTTTGCATTTTTATTGCCAGTGTTCTAAATGGAAGAGTGACAGAAGATAAAACACACCAAATATATTCAGTCCAGATCAGAGGAAAGTATTTATTACATTGTCATATAAGGAATCAGTGGATAAAACTGGGAGACAGTGATCAGCAGCAAGGTGATATTCATGTTAATCCTTGTTATAAAGCAGAAGGGGACCAGAAATATGAATGAATAATCTTGAATCATCCAACAAAGTTACACAAGGCTTAGTACAATGACTGAGGTTGACCGGAATGAAGGATGGCACCATGCGTGATTACTGAGTACATTTCTCAAGAAAGGAGAAGGAAATCTTCCCTCCAGATTCCAATCATCCCCTAGGACCAGATTTTCCAAAGTGCTTTAGGTATATAGTCATGTAAATAAGGAAAAATAATATTTTCCTAAAATTTCCCAGGCTTTTCTATAGACCAACTCATCCCACTGTTTTGACTTGCCCTGGAGGACAAGCTTCTATCCACTGACCTTGGGAGACTACCTGCTGCACACAAACATATGCATCTGTTGTCTAAAGCTGGTTTGTGTGGCTCCTCTGACCCAGTGGCTTATATGCAAGTTCAGTTTCTAACTCACTACAGGTCCCACTAGCCTGCCTGCACTACTCAATATGTAACAGCTTTGTAAATCTGGCCATGTGTCCCTAACAGGGACAGCAGGCATCCCCCTGCCCAGGCTGCCCCAGCTCTCAGATGCTACCTGCTCTAGACCTGATACTGGACACCACTCCTTTAAATCTTTTATACCATATTTTCATTTTCATATGGTTATAGACCACAGATTCACAAAATGGTAGAGTATCCAAGGTGGAGCCACTCTGGTGGTGGTCTGGTCCAGCCCCGCAGTGTCTGTTAGAATAGGTCATTCAGGACCTACCTGAAAGGAGGTTGTATCTGAGGGGGGTTGGCCTCCTCTCCCATGTAACTAGTGACAGGATAAAAGGACATAGTCTTAAGTTGCACCAGTGGAAGTTTAGGTTGGACACTAGGAGGAATTTCTTTACAGAAGGGGTGAATAGACATCGGAATGGACTGCCCAGGGAGGTGGTAGAGTCACTGTCCCTGGATGCATTTAAGGAAAGACTGGGCACAGCACTTGGTTCCATGGTATAGTTGGCATGGTGGTGTTCCATCATAGCTTGGACTCTGTGATTTCAGAAGTCTTTTTCAACCTAATTGATTCTGGCATTCTGTGATTCATTTTCACATGGTTATAGACCACAGAATCACAGAATGGTTGAGGTTCTAAGGTGCCTATGGGGGTGGTCTGGTCCAGCCCTGCATCTCAAAGCACGATCAGCTAGAATAGGTCATTCAAGGCCATGTCACAGAATCATAGAACCAAAGAATAGTTTGTGTTGGAAAGGACTTTCAAGATCATGTAGTTCCAAATCCCCTGCTATGGGCATGGATGCCCCTCACTAGATCAGGTCACTCAGGACCCCATCCACCCTGGCCTGGAACACTCCCAGGGAGGGTGACGTCATCAGCTTTTGAGGATCCCCAGGGGCGGAGACACCACAAACTCTCTGGGCAAACCCGTGCCAGCAGCAATTGACCCCCCTCACAGCATACGGACGGTTTCGATTTTAACAATTTTCAGGAGGCTCTTGCTGCAAAGGAAAAGCCAGCTGCCCGCCGTAAGGCCGGTTGGAGGGGAGCGATCGCCTCAGGGGTGGGCGCGGCGGTACCTCGGGGGGTGCGGCGAGGAGCGAGGAGGGGGTGTCCGCCCTCTTCCCACCCCCCCGCCTCCTCCGCGAGCACCTGCGCAGGCGGCGCCGAGCGCACGAGGCGCTGCCCCCGCCCGCTTCACACACGACACACAGCACACCCACCACACACACACACACAGCGCACACGGCCCTGCGCGCGCGCGCGGGGTGCGCGCACCTGCGCTGACGGCCACGGCCGCCCCCGCGCGGCGCCGTCCGCTGGCGCCTGCGAGAGGGACCGCGTCGACCCCTCTGTGGCCTCCTCCTTTCCTGTCCATCGCTCCGACGCCGCCGGGGGATAAGCCCAGCGGAACGCGCCGCCCGGGGGTCGTGGAGTGTGTGGTGGTGTGTCGTGTGGTGTCCCGCGTCGAGTTTGTAAGTTCTCAGAGAGGATAAAGCCCCCCTTCTCCCTCGCCCTCCCCACCCCCCCAGCCCGGGCGGGGTTTCCTCACTGGGGGTCGGTGAAGGATATTCTCCCCTCTCTACCCCCCTTCATCGTGTCCGCTCCCTCCGCCACCAAAAATAATAATCCCGCTTTGGAATCGTGGCCGCTGGATAATGGGGTTTACGCCGCCCCGCAGGCGGCCCCCACCCAAAATTGCGGCGCTTAACGGGGGCTTCAGCTGTTTTATGGTCTGCCTCCCGTGCCGTGCCTTCGTGCCTGTTCAGCTGAAGGAAACTGCCCTACGGGTCACTCAGCCTCCGCGCCTCGGTCTGTCCCTTGGTGGATAATCTCGGGCAGTTTTAAATATCCCCCCTCCCGCTTTGTTTTTGTTTTTGTTTTCTGTTGTCACATTTATGTAACAAGTGCCTGCCTGCACATTAGGTCGGTGTTGCTGACTCGGGCAATGCATGTTCCGGGTGGGATGATGTGTCCAGTGATGTGCCTGAACATTAAAAATAATGTCTTTCTGTTGAAGAAGACAGGGGTTAAAATGAATGAAGATCTGAAGGTTAATTTGAGCTGGCTGCCTCAGGATCATGTAGAAGCCAGCTCTACAGAGAATGCCTCAGCTGCAGGCTCCTCCCTGGTTCCTGTCGTAGACCCTGAGCCAGAGCTTTTGGTAAACCCCTGGGACATTGTCTTATGTACTTCAGGGACCCTTATCTCCTGCGAAAATGCCATTGTGGTTCTGATCATTTTCCATAATCCCGGTCTTCGCGCCCCCATGTTCCTCCTGATAGGCAGCCTGGCACTGGCAGATCTCTTAGCGGGCATTGGATTGATCATCAATTTTGTTTTTGCCTACCTTCTGCAATCAGAAGCTACAAAACTGGTTACGATTGGACTGATCGTTGCCTCTTTCTCAGCATCTGTTGGCAGCTTGCTGGCTATTACTGTTGATCGTTACCTCTCCCTGTATTACGCTCTGACTTACAATTCAGAGAGGACTGTCACTTTTACCTATGTCATGCTTATATTGCTCTGGGGAGCATCTATCTGTGTTGGACTGCTGCCTGTAATGGGCTGGAACTGCCTCAGAGATGAATCCACCTGCAGTGTTATCAGACCACTCACTAAAAATAATGCAGCTGTCCTTTCGATCTCTTTCTTGCTTATGTTTGCCCTCATGCTGCAGCTCTACATTCAGATCTGTAAAATTGTGATGCGCCATGCCCATCAGATTGCCTTGCAACACCATTTCCTGGCCACTTCCCACTATGTGACCACCCGAAAAGGAGTGTCTACTTTGGCCATTATTTTGGGGACTTTTGCTGCTTGCTGGATGCCTTTTACACTTTATTCTTTAATAGCAGATTACACCTATCCTTCTATATACACCTATGCCACCCTCCTGCCAGCTACCTACAATTCCATTATCAATCCTGTCATATATGCTTTTAGAAACCAGGAGATACAGAAAGCGCTTTGGCTCATCTGTTGTGGCTGCATTCCTTCTAACCTGTCTCAGAGAGCAAGATCACCCAGTGATGTCTGATTGGCAGCCAGGAGGACGCTCCTTAGTATGTTACTTTCCAGACATTCTGTCTTTGGTTTAGATGCATTCATTAAATGGTATCTGATGGGTTCAGATAAAAACCACAGGATGGACTGACCTTTTTGTAAACAGAAAACCCCAGTGACCGAAATCAATTGCGTGGTTTAAGGGAGATTTCCAAAATCAAATTAATCAGTGTTCTTACAGATTTATAATGTTGCTCAGGGTCTTTTTGTCATATTACCCAGACTTTGCCATGTTTGCCATGATTTTACCTTCACCTTTCTAATTAAAATTGGATTAAAACAGCATACCTCCTTTGAAATTGTTTATGTGATTGAATTTAGTTATACTGCATGTTATAATCTGTTGTCAGGATGTTTTTTTCCTCTTTAATTTTTTTTAAACAGAAAGAAAAACCAACCAAGTCCTGTTACTGCATATGTATATCATCAGAATGCGCTTCAAAATAATGGCCAATTGTACTGAGTTATTGGTGTTTAATCTCAGTGCAACAAATTTGCTTTAAATGAGGAAGTACTTGTACAGCTTTTTATTTTACATCTCAGCATGAATTAGGTTGATAATTGTTTTTAAGGGTTACCTGTTTTCTCATGAGTTCTGGCTGGATGTTAAACCAAAAGATATGCATTGCTTTCCTTTTCAAAAGTCAACCGTATGTTTTCCCTTAGATATGGGACATCAGAGATCACTATGCTATTAATTTTAAAACTGATTGGTGGGGGGGAGAATCTCTGAAACTGATGAAGCAACGTGGCCTCTTTCGGCTATGCGTTTGTAATAGATCAAACACTAAGTTTCTCAGACAAGTTTGTCTTTTCAGAAGAGTTAAAAAAATCTTTAATAAAATAACCAACAAATTGCTCGCAGCACGTATTTAGCACTACGTGAAATGGTTTTCCTAAGTTTGTTTTCAAGTCAAAACTATTACCGCTTGTTTTCATTGTTCTCCTATGTAATTTTAAATACTGACGTTTATAAATTCTCAGAGCATATCTGGTTCATAATTGTATGCAACCAGAACTGCAAGAGGAGACGAAAACAGCGTTTTCTTATTTTCTGGCAGTTTTATCCACTACAGAACGTGATTCTTTGCATTGTACCCATGTCAGTTCACTCCATTGTAAGATGATAGTTCTGATCTAAAAAGCAGAGCTTCCTTTCATGAATGGTTAAATTTCAAACTGCTTCTAACCTTTCACTGGAGCCACATTAGAATGCACTAGAAATAAAGCATTGTTTTCTAATTTGAAGACTTGATTGTCAGGGAGAAAATATTCCTGGCATATGTCTTTGTGAAATTTACGGTATGCCCTCATGTCAGTTCATGGAGTTTAGAGTACCACTTCCATTAGTGTTGATGGGAGCTAAATGTGTTCATGCCCTGGCATCAGTAGGAGGTTATTTTCCTTTGAATGTCTAAGTCAGCATACTGTATTGTTGCTTCAGTACCTTCTATTAAAAAAACCCAAAACAAACTCAAATGTAAAAATAGCAATATTTACAGTTCAATGAAAAAATATACCTGTATAGTAGAGATAGTAGAGACAACTGCATTGCTGGTCTGGATTTTTCCAAATGGAATCAGTCCTTTTCATGTGGACATTCGGATGACTGTAGCTTTTTGTGGCAAAGTTTCTGTGACGTTAAGAATCATATGCTATACACAAAGCTGAATCTCAAATGTGAGTGAGTTGTCTGTAAACGAGGCTCTGTAGACATTTTTATGAGCAATAACTAATTTTAGTTGCAATGCTGGGTTTAAATTCCATCGTTTACTTGGTTCAACCTTCATGATATTTGGCTCTTACTTTGTAATCTGATTCATTTATTAATTGCATGGCATGATCTAGTAGAGCTGTGAATTTGAAGCTCCCCTGGCTTCCCTGTGATTTACAGGTGCTCAGCAGAGTTAAGACTATGACTTCTGCTCAGTGTAGGATATTGGTGTTCTTTATCTACTTCTGAATGCTAATGAAACTTCAGTCGTTGCATTTTTGTGTAAGAAATACTCACTTTGTAGAAATCTGTGCTACGTATGTGTGCAGTTTTGCAAGTATGCAAAGTATTGGGAATTAATGGCAGTAAAAGTCATGAGATGAATAATGTAGGGAGGCTCAATAATGTAGAATGGCACTTCAAGTTAGTCACGCAAAGTTTACTCCCTTCTTTTTTTCCTGCATTTGTTCTTCTTTGTCAAAATGCAAAACATATGATGGTTATAAAAGCTAAAACTGCGACCAAAATTCAGTCCAGAGGGCAACTGTTGTTTTGCTTATGCAGATCTGTTCTCATCCTCTTGGATAACTTCACAGGCATTAGCGTTTTTCTCTACACAACACCTGTGTGATGGGGAAGCCAGAAAAAAACAGCACAGAGGGAGGTAATCTCATCCTCTCATGCTGGTTCACCTAGTGTCCTTGTCATCTTCCTTGCTCCACAGGCTGCTCGAATCCACAGAGGCTCTCCAGAGCGCTGGGGGAGCTGACCTTTTCCTTGTGCCAGAGCAGAGAGATTTGTAATTGGAAGCTTCTCTCCTGAGGAACACTGCAAGTCAAAGAGGAAAGAAGGATTAATTATAGCAGTCCCACAAAGCTAGCTCGTAGGGATGGGATTTGCCCTTGTTTTGAGGAGTAGTGCATGGTTGCCTTTCACCACATACAAATGAGAAACATGATTCTGCCTCCCAAGCCTCTGCTGTGACCTCCAGTGAGGATGTTGTCTCTTCCAGAAATATGTTCTTAAATTAAGACTGTGCAGCACAGGCCAGAAAATCCTACTGGAAGTCAACGACATAGGTTTGCCCGCAGCTGTCAGGCCAAACTCTAACATGGTTTGCAGTACTTGACAGGTGCTATATAACACACCTGTGAACGAACTCTTTAGAGTAGGGCCAGAGCTGTGTGTATGAAGGTGCCGACCTCACTTGCACAGAAGGATTGCTTGACAGCTAGCCACTTTCCAGACCCTGAGGAATTAAGCAATTCTCTGCTCAGAATTACAGGATAGGCCCCAGTTCGGTATGGTGAGGTGCCGGTATCCATCCAAGATCCCTCTGAAACCGGCAGAAATCCCACCAGCTTGCAGGATTCTGATGTTTTGTTGTCCCATCAAACAACACCCATGTGTAAGACCAGGGAGGTTAGATTCACCATTCTGTGTACAGTGAAGTAGCTTTCACATCTCCATTGTAATGACAGAAGACTTCTATTTCTTAATATGTAATTTACTTCAAAGAATTGAAGTTCACGTTTATTTATTAAAACACTTGACCTGAAGTTAGTAACAGGTTATATCTTGATGGGAAAAATTTACTTGTGGTCGGTTTTTCATATGTTCATCCTCAAAGCTTGGGAGAGGATTTTTTTAGATTGTCATCTTTTTTTTTTAACCATTTCTCCTAACAGTAAGATTTCAGCAATAAGGGGAAATATGTGTTTAGCACAAAAGCAATAAAATCCTCCATGTTGCAGGTACTATAAACTGCTGAGAAAACTCAGAGCAATAGAGAGGAAGCAATATTACTTTAAACAAAAAACAGTAACTTGCATAAGGACTTTCGATTAGCATAAGTCTTCCTTTGTTAAGCAGATGCTATCAGACCGATGTGGGACATCATTTCTGGTTGATTTGTCTTATAATTATTGAGTTCCTGAATAGAATTACACAGCAATAATATTTTATTGTAATTCTTGGGTCCCAAATTTGTGCTATTGGCAAGAAAAAAATTACGTACTATGGTGAAGATTTTTATTCTTTTCATCATTTGGCATTTAGTTGCACAGCATTCTGTAGACAAATTGTGTTCAGGATTTCCAGTTGTAACAGAAAATACTGAATTTACCATGCTTATCAGGATGGACATGATAAATGGTGCTAGCCCATTCTGAAGACAGCTTAGTTTCAGTATCAGTGAGGAAAACTCCTACCAATACCCAAGCTATTTGGAGGCAAGATGAAAGGCCTGCTATTGCTGCTGTATCTTCCTACCATGGACACTCAGTAACATAAGCAGCTGTGTCCATCCTTTAGTGTTCAGCGGCCAACCTTGAGGCATCTTGGAGTCACTAAAGCCCCTCCATGGACAGCAGTGAACTTTGGCTTAAACCAGCAGCCATGCTGTCCCCAAAGAGCTGTTATTTTGTTACCTCATTTTCTTAGGGATTGTTTAGCCTTTAAAAGTAAGATGCATGAGACTTCATTTCCCCAAGGTGATAAGCAACCTGCTGGTGACTGAAGTTGGGATAAAATAGCATCACTACAAATCAAGCCCCTGAAACATAACTACACACTCATTAATTAAAAAAAAAAAAAAGGAAAGGGGTTCTGTAACTTTCAGAACATGATTTTCAAAATGTTGGCCCCAACTTTTATGAAAAGAAAGTATACATGGTCTGGTTTTTCTGTGTACCATAAATAAAGAAATAAAAATAAGAATTAGAGTAGTCACTATGTAAAAAACCACTAGCTATTCTGTCACTTTATCTGAGATACTGAGTGGTTCTGGTTCTGCTTAGTGGTAGTCCAGAGATGTTCAATGGTGAAAAATTAAGATCTCTCAGTCTCTGCTTATAGAGAACTAAAAGGAAGGGACTAAAAGAAAGTGGTGTAATTTATATGTCATGAATAAGCAATAGGTCAGGAAAGATAAATTAGGCATGCGTATCTCCCTCATTTGTCAGTATAAGAATGATGGGACTCTCAATAAACTTGAAAGGTCTCCTGTCTGGAAATACTTTTTTGGTGCAAAAGGAAATTACCCCTTAAAACTGGGTGCTGCTGTCTTCTTCAGACCAAGAATTCGCAGTTCCTTTTAATGCATGAGAAATCTGGGTGAACTGGAAGGATATCTGCTTTTGTATTAGGTGAATGATGAGAGATGGAAGTCTTTATGGCTTGGTGAAACAGCCAGATTCTCAGTGCTTGAGCTTGGGTAGGAAGGATGCTTGAATGAATGCATCCCCTGAGAGAACGTTATTTTGAGCTGTCCATTTGGAACCTGACCCAATGCACATGGAGCACCTGAGAGGGGCCCTGGGACTGCCCTTGTTCTGGGGTATATTGCAGCAGTCCTATATCCTTGAGCCTGGCAGTATTGTTGCTCCTGTTGAATGGTGTCCAGAAAAAAGAGAGGAAGGGATATGATCAGAAGTGAGGTCCCCCTTCCTTGAAAATGTCACCTCATGTTTTATTCAGATTATTACTTGTCTTATTAGCATAGTGTTGTGTGGTTCCACTTGAAATCAGAAGAGAGGTTTTGTGGAAAAATATTGGAAATGCACAAGTAGCACTACCAGCAGATTATTTTACGATAAGTCATTAGGTATTTCTGTTTCTTTTGAGGAGCAGCTGAGCCTTTAACTTCGCAGTAAACGTTTATCTGAAAACAGTATGCCTTTGCACTAAAAAAGTTCATGCTGTGGTTTATTCACAAAATTATTGTGATCCTGTAAGCCACACAAAAAGAAAGAGTTGCACATTTCATTTACTCTTACACAAACATCTTCTAGAAGAGAAGGAAAAAAATGAAACCTGACTGTAGGTTAGGTGAAACCCTATTGCAGTTAACTAGTACACCACTGCTATGATGCAAATTAATTCAGTGCCACCAAAAGGATAAGAGGAGATTTTTCCAGTGGAGATTTTTTGCAAATAGGCTGAGAGAGTAAAACTCACTTTAGAACAGCAGTCAGTTAAAGTTGCCATCACAAACTCCTTGAATTGGCTTTTAAGGAAATTGTCCTCACCTCCCCAAACCTTCGTTTTGCACTCTACGTATGCCAAGGCAATTTTTACATGCTCACTGACATGCTAGATATTTAACTAAACAAGACAGTATTATGGGTTTCCCCCTCACAGGTAGAGGGAAGAGTCTTATGTCCCAGAACTAATGACCCAATTTAGTTATCTGATAGCTCTAAGTAACATAGACCTTTCTAAAAAGCATAGAGTAGTTACGGGCTTTCAGTGCATATTTGAGGGCTTCCTTAAATTACTAGTGTAGAGTATTAGTATTTCAACTGAGGGCCGTAGGATTATGGCTTGGGTGTTTTTTACCTTTTTTTTTCCATCCTTCACCTCACCACCACTGCACCCCCAGATGTCTGGTACAGTCCTTTTTGTTTAAAGACAAACATTGGTTTACAGTTGGATTCGATGATCCTAGAGGTCTTTTTCAACTTAAATGATTCTGTGATTCTAAGTACCTGCCTCTCATAAGTACAGTGGTGCATTTTTAGGTAAAAGCTTATTTACAAAGTTTTTTAATAGTTTGATATAACCCTTTCAAATATAATAGCAGCACTTTTTTATTTAACAACTTCAATGAGCATTTGCCTTACACTGGAAATGTCTGATTCACCTGTGGAGAGGAAAAACTGGAGGGAAGGGTACTGCTACCATTTTTTTTACTCTAATATTCTTTTTTCCTCAAACCATTTGATCCCAACCATATGATGTACCATGAGGTCTGAGCACAGGCCTAGTCCCAGTTCCTCAAGAAAAAAGCAAACCAATACAAACTGCACAAGCTGAAGACTGCATCCTGCAAGGATTTACCTTAGAAAATGGAGGCGCAAAGAGGTACCAATAAAATAGATTTTTCTTTTAAGTATAAACTCATTCTTAAAGGGAAATGCCTATGTTCAGATTTAACATAAAGAGTTTAAGTAGTAATTATATTATATGCTGAACAGAGAGTTTCTTAGAGTATTTTGGTATGCCATTAGCTTAATTACGTATGATGAGCTATCACTTTTAAGTAGCATAATTACATACTTAAATATAATATATATATACACATAATTATTATGATTATTTAATTTATTTTTTTATATACACGGTATGGTATATCTCATGCTCTGTACCTTCAGTGTTGACATGGTCAAAGTGTAACATCTCTGCTGAGGCAGTTTCACATGTTTAAAGAAAAATATTGCCGAACTTATACGAGTCTTGCAAACACTGAAAGATTCAGTGGCAATTGATATTTCAACAAAGAAAGACCAGCTAGAGGTTTGGGAGGGGAGGCAAAGTCTCATGTCTTGAATTTGAATAAACCCCACTTTGAGATTACAGGAATGTGTTCTATCACCACATATGGACAGAATGCAGGAAGGATATTTGTCACAAACGTGAGCCTATGTAGCAGCTATATCTTCCTGAATACAGTGTTCCCTGTTCTTTCCTGCTCTTTTTCTGTCTTTCATAGGTGCTTTGGTAACAGGGCTGCTCAGATCATGAGTCTAAACAGCACTCCACACAGTTATGTGACAGAGATGGACATTTTGCACTGGCTGATGCCAGGGTATCTAAAAAATTTTATGCATTCATTTTTAAAGGGCATGTAAAATACATATATGTTTCAATGATGTTCTAGGAAAAAGGTCTAGGACCTCTAAGATTTAGGACCAACGTATAGAGCTCTTAACACATTGATTACTTACGGTCCCCATAGAATTTTCCTCTTACTTCAGTGTTCACTAAGATTAAACCCATCAAAATAATCAGGAATTTGGCTTCCCCATTTTCAGGGAAGAAATATTTTTATAGTATGCAAATGAAAGCAGCATGACCTGGCCCTTTGAAAATTGAGGTACCCTCATCCTGAAAGGGACATACTTTTGTGTCCCCATGGAATATGGGGAGTTGTGCCCCATTCATGAGTTTTTGTTTTGCCACTCTTTGGTTGCCCTCTGACGATGTACTCCCTCAATATATGAGCACCACTCAGTTCGCTTTGTGGTGCCTCTTGCCCCAGAGAGCTCATGAGAAAAGAGCGTGGAGGTGAGGCTTTTCTGTAGGGTTGATTGTAGGTCAGAGCATGCTGGGTTTGGAAGGGAGCTCTGCTCTCAGCACAGAGCTTTCTGAAGACATGACAGAAAATAGCGAGCCTTCTTCGATCACATACCAGCCAAATTTGAGCTCCTTTCTTTTGTATCGGTCTTTCGGTGTAAGCAGAG